GGTTGTAAATTTGTTCAAATTCGTAATTAATTTCAATTTAGTCCTAACAAAATATTCTAGCTACTTAGATATTCTTTTCAAACTCCCACCACCCTTCTCTCTCTCTCTCTCTCTCTCTCTCTCTCTCTCTTCCTCTCTCTTTTCATCTGAGATCTTAAAGAGATATACTAGCAAAGGGGACAATGAAATGAATTACTTTTTAAATGAACTGCAAAATTTCACGAGATTGAGAAAGTGGATAGGATTATAAATTTTGTTCGAAATCTAAATTAATATCAAACATTATGAGTTAATATTTAGAACATATATTTTTAATATATATTATTTTATTATATAATATATATAATAATAATAATAATAATAATAATAATAATAATAATAATAATAAATCTAATGAGAAACGTTGACTATAAATAACAAATTGTATTATGATTTCTTGTATATTAATTTGTTTAACTCTATAATGCAAATATCTATCCCTATTATAAATCCAAATGAATAATTATTTTCTAAAACAAATAAAAAATATTCACGTACAAATAAGCCATTTAATTGATCATATTCTAAAGAAAAATAAATATTAGAAAAGTTGTGATTAATCCAAATGAAATATAAAAGTTCTTATAAAGTTTTAGAGAAAAATATTGAATCTTGGACATTCTTTTCGCACTCTTTTCATCTTTTTTTTTTTTAATTTTTTATTCTTCTATGATTCTTTACGGACTCCTCAACTTCTTCCTCCTGTACCACCACCACCGCCACCACCACCACCACCACCATTACGACGACATAAGCCATGGACGAACGAAGCAGCCATATTAAATTCTTGCTATTTAATTTGAAGACCCTTTTTTCCGCTTTACAGACTTTAGAAAGTCGTTGACCTAAGTAATTCGATTCTTTTGTCCTCGGTTTATCGAGCCTACGTTACCAACGAGAACTATATTGAAAAAAAAAAATAAGAAAAAAAAGATTTCCTTCCACGCTTCTTTCAAAAGAAGAGATAGAAATTCTTTTAACCACGAACTTCGCGACTTCTTACTTTCTAAACTTCTTCATGATACAGGAAGATCTTTCTTCTTATTGCACACCTTATCGTTTAAGACGTTTGACACGTTAAAATGATTAAACGTCACAATTTTACGTTCGTGATCCTATTGATACATAGAAGTCTTCTTTTTATTAAATTTATTATTATTATTATTATTATTATTATTATTATTTCGAATCTTTTTTATTAAGAAAAATAATAAAAGTAGAGTCTAATATAAAACATATTTTTGTTTTTATTTTTTTTTGTCATTTAAATAATAAAAAGAAATGGGTCATATTCATTTACATAACGTTTTTTAAAAATATCATTTATATGTGTGCACACAGGTGTGTATTTAAAAATTTCACGTACGAATAATTTTTTGTATTTTTCTTTTCTTTTCTTTTTTTTTTTTTCAATGCAATATGCATATAATAAATATTATTACATATTTATATAACTGTATGTGTTGTAGAGTTAAACAAATATGTTTTATAAAAGGGGTGAGAGGGGTTGCTCGTTAAATTTGAAACAATTGAATATCGAATATATATGAAATGAGAATAGAAATATGTTGTTACTTATTTTAAAAGTAAAGAACTATATCAATATTATTTATTAAAGACGATACGTGTTTATGTATACATTTTCAATAAACCGAAGAAAACATACACGTAACTTTATAACATCTAATTAATTCAAATTAAGATAAAATAACCTGTGGAATCGTATACAGGTAAATGTATAATTTAAATAAAACAAAAACATAACAACAAACCTACTTGATTATACGTATTCCTGTTATACGAATTCTTTAGTATTATGTTATTTCATTATACGTACTTTCTATTATACAAACATATTTTATATGTTATCGATATAATCAATAATCTAAATGAAAATCATAATATTGAATCTCGTATGCATGATACATGATTAATTTCGATCTCGATAATTTGTAAATAAATCGAACAGTTATTATAATCAAAGCTTTTTCTGTATAATTTCAATTAAATTTCACTTAATTAAATATTCTCTTTTTATTATAAAAAATCGATATTTAATTTAAAGATAATAAATGAATAATAATCTCTTGAAATATGTTTTTACGTGTAAAGATATTTCTAAACAAATATTGATTGTTTACAATTGACAATACGGTTGAGAATACTCCTGTGACACTTTGTAGTATATAGATATACATATATATGTACACATATACATGCTTGTGTATTTCAAGTATTTACTATGTGAGATAAATGAGAATTGTTTGTATGTATTATATGTGTATATAATGTATATATATTTGTATACTTAATGCAAATGCATAATCATTTATAATTGCTTCTAATTAGTGTAGTACCTCATTATCAATCCTAACTCTTCCTCTTTCTCTCTCTCACATACTTTACATTTTACTTTGTCTGAGTTATATAGTTCATTCATCTTTTATGTTTAACAATCAAATATTCAGTACCTTTAAGGGAGGAAATTAAATGCATTAGATAATGCAGTTATTATTCTTAGGTGAGATTTCATTTACGTTTAACAAGTGACTCGAATAAACATAATGAATTTAAACGAGACAATAATGTAAACGTTCGTCTTTGAATAATCGTTGAAAAAGAGAAATAAAAAGAGAACATTTTTATTGAAATCCAAGTAACATAATCGAGAATCTTCTGTACTTTGTGAATCGTGATTTAAAGCGGGGGTGTTTTCCCTTTTAATTCCTATAATACTTCAAATGATAAATCAAGTCACACTTTTCCCTTTTTTCTTTTTTTTCTTTTTTTTTTTAGATTTAAATTACGAGTACTTCGTTATGACAAAATTATGACCCTATTCAAAGTATATTTAATTAGATTATTTTTAACACGATATCCATTTTGTAATGAAATTATTAATAATTAAATTTTGTAATGCAAATGATGTATTATATAAAGGTTTAATCAAATATGTTTAAAAGGATATGAAATAAATTGAGCAATAAATAACGTCGAGTAATTGTGAAAAAGTTTAATATTTAAATAAATAGTATCATATTATATATATGTATGTAATATAATACTATTTTTATATAATGGAAAACATAAATTTTCGTTATTTTATAGAACCTAATGAAAATAAATGTTAAATGATAAAAAGAATTGTTGTAGATAATATTTCTTCGTGTATAAATAATAAATCACGTAGTCATATATAAGAATATATTTTTAATATAGAAATATATTCTTAAAATATTTCTTTTTTTTTTTTTATTATTTACATGAAATTCAGACGTTACTTTATTGGTTCAAACGAATGCTGTAATAACTATTATACAAATACGAGATCAAAACGTTGCAATATTTATATATATTTACCTTTTACCCAGCTTGTTTTCTCTTGAGAGCAATAATATTTTTGTAAACTGAGAAAAAAAATGGAGAGAGAGAGAGAGAGAGAAAGAAAGGGGTAGAAAAAAATTATAAACACGTTGGAAAAAGTTAAAGGAAGATAGTGTGGTACGGAATATATGATGGAAGGGTATAAATGGAATTAAAAAAAAAAAAGAAAAAAAAAAGAAAGAGTAAGGGAGATGAATGTTTGAGTAAAAAGGGGTGAATAGGCGTACGCGAGTTTGTTGCGTGCTCGAGTATGTGGGAATGTGTATAAGATTTAAAAAACAAGAAACATAAAAAAATAAAAACAAAAGAAAAGGATAAAAAAAAAACTGAAGGATTATTCCAAGAGGAAAATTCAAGTTGGGGTGGTTTGGGGTGTAACACAAACGCGTATATCCATCTTCGTCGTGTAACTGTACGTCGTATCAGAATAATACTAATAGTAGTAGTAAATATATATGTATACATATATTTTTCTTTTTCTTTTTCTCCTTCGGGTGTGTAAATCCGCATTCGGTCTGTCAGCCCGCAGGACTTTTCCTCTTATAGAAACAAAACGTTTACTTCTTTTACTTGCTTGCTTGGGGGAAATAAAATGCATTTGAAAAAAGGGGGAAAGAAAACGTCGAGAAAGGATATAACATTTCCCAGGATATTATAACGTCAGTATATACCCGTTTAGGATTATATTGCGTATATGTAGTTAAATCATAGTATTTGTCTTTTTATTTTTTTTATTTTTTTTATATATACGGAAGACAAAATATTTCAAATGAAAGAGGGTGGACGACGTTGGAAGGATTTATGATTATCCTCCGATCTTTCAAATTAAACGTAAAACATGGATTAAGAAAATAACAATAATAATAATATATACGATTGAAAAAAATTCCATGAGAAAATAAAAGAAACTAACGAAAGAGTGATTTAAGTATTTAATACGAGTACACAGGAGTAGGGGGTGGAACAAGGGTGATTTAGGTAGAAGGAAAATTAAAAAAAAAGAAAAGTACATCGAACAATTTGCATAATTCATTTTTATACTTTATTTCATATTACATATTTTTTTTTTTTTTTTTACTATTTATAATAATTATTATTATTTCTTTTTCTTTTTTTAATTCTTTTTTTTCATTTGCTTCTTACAATCTAAGTTTCCCAATAGAATAAAATATTAGAAGGGATGAAAGTAACAAGAACGGGGGATATCGTTATCACGAATAAACATGGAATAAAAAGATGATAACAGATCTAGGAAGAATAGAGAACGAGAGAGAAAGAAAAATAGTGTAATAAAGTGAGAGAGAGAGAGAGAGAGAGAGAGAAAGGGACAAACGGATAACATTTCGATTTTCCGTACGATTTCGATTCTATGTGTGTTTTTTCTTTTTTTTTTTTTTTTCATCATGTCAACTGAAAGAACCTTTTGAAATGTGTTCTCTTATTCCTTAGAAAAATAAATCCTAGAATATAATAGAAATATATATTCTCTATTCTTCTATCGATCAAAGATTCATAGATCGAATACATTGTGGGCGAATTGAAAAGTTTTGAAACCCCTTTTACATAGAAAAGTATTGTTTAATTTCCTTCGAACATCTCACTTTTATTAAAAAAGAAAAAAAATGAAAGCAAAATTGTTCAACTATCTTCTGTAAAAATGATTTTTTTTTTAAATCCCATAGAAGAGCGAGAAATTTATATGAAATCTAAAAAGGAGTTAACAATCACTCGAAATAATTAAAACTATCATCCTTCTACCTTTTTTTTTTTCTTCAATATTTTTGTTTCAATCCGATATTGAATAAACAAACAAACAAAATTTTGGTTCTTCCTTGAGGTTAAAATTTTTTGATTGTATCGCGAAATTACGAATATTCCCGTTCTAAGCCATTAACTAAAGTAAACGATTAAATATTAGGAAAAGAAAAAAAACCATGAATATCCAGGAGGAAAAAGAAATCGCATTTTGTTGTTAATTAAAGGTCAAGGTGTTACTAAAACTTCCAGATCTAGTACGTGGTACTACAGCATCGGTGAATCTTATGGTTACCGTAGTGATCGCCATATTGCCGGTTAGGAATTGTGCCAAATTATCAACCCCAGCACGTGGTTTGCGATCGAAGGGATAACCCATTGAACGTGCGTCCGGATATTTGCGGTCCCTCAATCCACAGAAACTCGTGGCATCCTTGCAACCCGTTGATTCTTCCTGTTCAACCTATTAAACATGAATGATGATCGTGAAATATGACTATTTTTTAATTAACACTAGATTCTAGAGGTATTTTGTTAACGTTACTTTTTTTAATTAATTACAAACATTGTTTGTATTAAGGGTTGAGTAGAAATGAATTAGAAATTAATTATTTAATAATTAGATAATTAAAAGTTATAACATATGTTTATAGAAAATATTATTTAAGTTTTAGAGAGGTATAATAGATTTGCAAGAAATGAGTTCGAATATGAAAAAATCTAATCAAAACGATCCAATCAAATGTCGTCAAACAAACTACTACGAATCAATATAGGTTTATGTGTGTTTCTGAAAGCAGATCAATCAAAATTACACATACACTATCGGTCAAAAGCTTGTAATTGATATTGCTCATCTTCCATAAAAATTTCAATCTACCATAATATCATATACTCAACAAATTATTTTTATGAATTAGTATATATCGCTTTTATTTAACAAATATCGTTTCATTTTCTCTCTTATTGGTTCTTATTATTTTTTGAAAACTCTACAAATTAGATTTAGTAAGAAATAGAATATTAAATAGAAACTTTATCTAAGTATCAATTATTTAATATTGATATGTGGCAAAATACTATTAGGGTGAACTAAAAGTTGGTACGTTTATAGTGTTAAAACTTTACTTTGAAACTCCATAATGTTTTTGTCAAATTTATTTTGGAAATATTAATTTAACAACGCACAAACTTTTGTGGTTCTCTCACCTTAAATAATAATTCAAAATAATTTCAAATCAAAATTTAGAACTTATATTATTTATAAATTTCAATAATTAAAAACACGCACAAACTTTTGATTCACCTTAGATATAAGTTGAAAATAATTTCAAATGAAAATTTAAATCTTAGATTATTTATAAATTCCAATAATTAAAAATTACAACATGTGGGATTAATAAAATTGGTGTATGTTTATTAAAATATTCATTTTTCTTAATCCATTCGATATAATAACTTTAATTTATAATTAATAACTAAATTTATAACTTTTTTCGAACACGGTTCTTAGAAGTTATTTCTTTTTCTTTTTTTTTATTGTATTGCCAATTTTACAATACCAAATTTTATTTAAAAAAATCTTATTTTTCAATGAATACTTTATTCAAAATAACTGATAATAGAATATAATTGCACGCATGGTGTGCATGTGGTCTCGAATGGGCTAAGAAATATTCTTTAAATGTTATAAACAATTAGGAACTTTTGACCGTTAGTGTAGTGTATATCAGGTTGAATACCAGTTTAAACAGGGTAACTTGCGTGACTATTCCAACGTTTCGATAATTCCCATCGTGCCCGGAATCGGACAACGCAAAGCAACAACGTTCCTGAATATCGGTTATCGAATATCCCTAGCGGCATGAACTAACTGTAGTATAAAGATCTATACACATATACGTATATAAACATATATACATATACACAAACAAACATAATAACTAAGAGATTCAGACAATTATTAAGATTGATCGAATATTCGATCATTTTGATTGATTTCTAATCATTAATGTTACAAGTTTTTTTTCTAATTTTCTGTTTTAAAAGCAAATCAAAAAATAGTTCTATTTGATTAATATGAATATCATTATACAGTTAATTTCATTTCTTTGTTATGCATTTTCGTATTGTGACGAGTAATGAGTTAAACAGGTCAGTTCAAAAAGAAAAAAAAACCAAAAACAGATCGTTAAAAATTTTCTACATTGATGAATAAGTTATAAATATTCAATAGTTTAAATGTAATTCGATACGAATGAGAATGGCAAAGAATGAGGAAAAAAGGGTAGGAAAAAAAAATGGGGAAAGAGAAATGAAGAAAGAAAGAACATTTTCATTCATGGACGATTAAATATGCACGTCTGATGAACTCAATTGTACAAAGGGATTTTGTTCTACTCAGTCAATCAGAAGGATCAACGTAAAGGTAGTAATAGTAGTAGTAGTAATTGTAGATGACTGAAGCTCTATTGTGATCCATGCCAAAGGGTATCTTGTAATTAGATTATAAATTCAATGATAATGATGCTAGTATGTCCGTCAGTTCGTCCGTCTGTCTGTCTGATCGCTTATTATCATTAAATAACAATGAACGATAATATAGGATCTTTCATAAATAATAAAATATATTTGTATTTATTAGATTGTTCAATAAGTCGATAGGAATTTTTTGGCTGAATATTTATTTGTAGTTAATTTTGTTCGTTAGAATATATTCAATTCTGTTTTTTATAGAACAACTTTTATTTAATAAAAATTCTAAGAAGAATATATATTTATTTCTTTACTAAATTACGTTTTTGAATTAAAACAAAGTATTTTTTGGGAATTTATTTATCGCGTAAAAACAGTATTAAGTGTTGTAATATTGAAAATGATTTTTAAAGTATATTATTTGTGCAACAGAAAGAAATATAAAATATATGAAAACTTACCGCATCACCGGTATAATCGGAAATCATGATAAAAAGATCCATCGGAAATCCATCTTTACTTCCTTTTGGTATAAGCAAATGTTGGGGCCAGCCACAACCGCAGAAGTTGAACTGTTCCAGACTATCACCACCGATTGGTCTATTCTCATCAACGTTTCGGAAGGTTCTTTCGAAGGGAATTGTTAGCGTGGATTCGGTTGAACTACGTTGAATTGTATTTTGTCCAGGACGTACTAGAAAAATATCAATTAAATCAATGAAAATTAAAAAAGTAAACGAACGAAGTAAACACTGTTAATAATTTTTGAAAAGGTTTCTCCGATAAGTTAGCTCTATACGCAGGTTTTTAGATAAAATATAATACTAGTTAAAAATAAATTAAATGATAATAATTATATTGTTTAATAGACTTACGTAAAACGGTAAATTTATCCATTTCAATCATGAGATGTTTCTGTTGTCTAAATGTAAATGGTAATCCACGTTCGTCTTGTTGAGGTGCCATGAATATGCGTACGGTACCTTTTTTAGGTGAATTATTACGATTATTTGCTACGATCGTATAAGTGAAATCAGAATGATTGAGATGAGTGAATCTGACGAGGACTGGTCCACGTGGAGTGAAATCGAGACCACGTGATAAATCGATATCACTCTTGTTCCAGAAGGTGGCTAAATTATTTGGGGGTTGATTCGCAGTAGTCACTCGAATGTCAGTTATTTCTACTCCTGGAAAATCGAGCTACCAAAACAAACAAACAAATAAATCAAAATTTATTAATCCCAATAGCCAATAAAAATACTACAAAAAATTTTAATTTTTTTACTTGATCTACGTTGTACTCGGGTAAAGTATCTTTATGTTCTTGGAATACGTCATCGCAGAATGCATGGAATCTATAAAATACTGGATCCCTCATAGCCGTAGCAGGTTCACCCATAATGCTGAAAGATTCCTGAAACAATAAACAAACCAATGATTAAAATTAACACCCATTTATCATCGAATAATTTAATTAATAATAAACAAATTGTCCTTACCAAATAACGATTGTCAGGATCGTGAACGAAAGAAATCAAAACGTGACCGAGATTATGAAGATCCCCATATAGATTGACGTTAGGTGATAGAATGCTAGATTCCATGATATTTCCAAGTATATCGATACCTTCTTTTTCCGTAAGTGGTATTTTTTCACCTCTGATATTGGTTATCATTCTCGTATGAATAGCTTCGTAAATGCGATCACGCCATCTTTCCAAATCTTGAATATCAAAATTTAATTGATCCGCTTGCCTGTTGATATCACGAAGAACGGCACCGCTTGGTCTGGATGGCCAGTTACGATTTGCAGTCAATGAATCTAACTTTGGAAAATATCCCTCAGGAATTGGTTCTCGCCAGTTAATCAATCGAGTTACGCGTCCCAATCGATTGCACAAACGTTCGCAATTATATCTGAAAAGAATACACTCATATCAATGAAAATAAGACAAATAAATTTGTCATTTGACGTTGTATTGATTGTAAAAATCAATGAAACGATATAAATCGTTTTTCGTATGATTAAACGCAAAACGTGTGTTATCCGACAAATATGCGTTCAATAAACCGTACAATTGGTCAGAGTTAACGATCAAAGGGATTTCCTTCCCTACGATGTAAGAGATGAAAAGTTAATTAGCTATGAATGTGTGTAGAGAAAGCTAGAAGAGACTATATGGTATGGTATATTGATGGGGAATAGTATGGAGAATAGGTACGATCTATTCGGCTTATGTCTAGATACTACTACTGGGGGTGCTTACTACCTTGCTTGGATCTGCTGATGCATGTAGTAGAAGAGCTCCCCACGTCGATCCTTGTTAACGATTTTCATGTCGCCCTCGAACGGATAAACCAGATGCCAATGCCAGTGATGAAGATTGACCCCGATATCTTCTCTCCAATAAGCAACTCTGTGCTCGTCGTCTAAATCGGAAGCAGTAAAGTCCCTTGGGATTTCAATGGGAATCTAAATGAAACACGTTAGAACAAATATTGTTCAATCTTTTTTTGTATATGCAATAGCCACCCACATTCCTAAATTATTATATGCTAAACACCCGTTTCAGATTTGATTTATTTTTATTTTTTTTTTTAAATTAGGAATTTTTGTAGAAATTTTTTTTATTTTTGTTATTTTAAATCTTTGCTCTTTAATCAGAATATGTGATTTTGTTTTTATGTATCAACGTTATTATTTATACATGGGTTACGTGTAAGAATTTTTTTTTTTTTTACATGACTCGTAAAAATACAAATTCTAATAATTGTTTTTTTTAATAATTTTAATTCTAACCATTTTTATCATTTATATTTGTATTGTAAATATTAGAATATACAAGCTTTTTATGTATCCACGCTTTTCTATTTATCTTGGGTTACATGAGTGTCAGTTTTTACTTATGTGATTTATAAAAAAAAATATAAAATATTACGTATTATATTAACTTTAGAAAAAAAAAAATAGAAATATAGTTCTAAATATAAATTTAGAAACTTCCATTAAATGAAAAATCCTTACCCTTTGACCAGGAGATGAAACGTTGGCTTCTTCTCGAGCACGCGAAAAAATACCACCATCGATATACTTGTCAGGAAATACCTCGTGTAAAGGGGGAATCGGTAAATTTTTGGTATCAGGACGATGCAATATTGCAACTGATAATGCATAAATAAACATATTCGGATTCATTCGATCACGACAATAAACCGCGACCGATAAGAAATCTTCGTATGTTCTCATACCTACATTTCAAAACAAATTCATTTTCAATAAATGTTAATCGATGATTTAAAACGTATACAAATAGAAAGATTAGAATCTAATGAAATTACAAACCCATGAATATGTCGATTAAACGTGCAGCTACTTTACGATGAGCAGGTATGAATAATGAGAACGGTGATCTACGTCCAAGTTGCATGGGAATGCTTAGATCAGGTAAACTAATTTGTTTTACAGGTATTTTAGAATCGGTTGTTTCACCGAATCGATTAAATATGTCAACGGCAGCTGGTTGATATTGGTCAGGCTACAAAAAAAATGTCACACACACACATGTTAAAATATAAATAATTATTTAATCGTTTGAAAAAAAAAAAAAAAAACAATTACAAATTATAGGATTTTAAAGTAAAATTAAATAATGATATATTAATATAAATGAACAAAATAATAATAATAATAATAATAAATATATAATAAAATAAAAATATAATAATGATAAATATCTGTGCAAAATGTAACCTATTATTCTTTTATTTTTTATATTTAATTATTAATAATAATTTTTCTATTTCTCAAACTATTTTTTTAATAACAGTGTTTAAAAATAAACAATATCGAAATAGAATGAAAAAAATTAATATAAATTTAAATTAATGCAAATTTCATTGATAATATTTAATGATGAATTTGTCAAATTTAATTTTATTATGAAAAAAACTTTTATATAAAAAACTTGTTATAGAAACTTGTACTTTTAAAATCACAAATGTTACACACAGTATAATGTGTATAAATAATGTAATTAAAATTAATACATTACCAAATAATCAGCTGGTATGTCAAAAGCCACACGTTTTTCTCCTTTAGGTACGTAAACGGGTTCAGCGGGACGATCAAAAAGATAAAGTATTCCAGATTTATCATTGCTCCCCATTTTGATGCGGTGTTGTTATTTCAATTAAATAACAGAGAAAGAAATTTGAAATGAAATATTTTTGTTTTCTGTTTGAATTAACTAAAAGTTCTACAAACGAAGATTGAAACCTAACACGTTAGGTTTCCAAAACTTCTTTTGAAGAGATTGAACATAATTACTTGCTTATATATATACTACTTGTTCCAGGATATAGTGTGGTAGACAAGAAATAAAATAACAGACATACCAACCGCAAAATCCGTTTTAAATACAAAAAAAAATATACATATTATATATATATATATATATATATATATATATATATATATATATATCTTCTAATGTAAGTTTAAACCACCCTCCCCTCTATCTAACAAATTCTCATCCTGTTTTTTTTCTATCTTTTCCTGTTTTCTTTTAAAATACTGTCCCGGTTTTTTTAATTATAAAATTTCTTTGATATTTTCCATATTTTTTTTTTTATTGAAAATAATTATTTCAATTGTAATGAAAATATAATTTGTAAACATTATAATAACGTAGCTGTAATTGATATTTCAATTAATTTCAATTTTTACAAAGGCAAGAGAAAGTAATTTCGGTTTTCTAGTGTGAAATATTATTTTCTTGCCAACCTAATAATATTTATATATATATATATATATANATATATATATATATATACTATTAAATACTATTGTTAGTATTAATATAACTAATAGTACTATAATTAATATAATTAATAGTACTATAATTAATATAATTATTAAAATACTTATATTATTTTATAATATAATAATATATATATATTGTATATTTACTTACTACTGAAATTACTTTTTTGCCAACCCAATATATAGGGATGATACATTAACAAATGAAATTTTCTAATCAATCTTTTCGAAAATCAACTATAACATCTTTATTAGTATCATAAAAAGAAATCGACTATTTGATCATGCTACAGAGAAAACCATTCGTTGTATCTATCTATCTATCTAAGCTTCGAGATTGATGATACTCGATGTGTGTATATATATACAAATCGATAAAAAAGTAAAAAAAAAAAAAACTAGAGAGAGAGAGAGAGAGAGAAAAGCAATTCAATCACGGGAGGAACCTCTTCCATTGAATGATCTTTTGCTTTCACTATACATTTCTATCGCGAGTGGTTTTGTAGACACCGTATTAGGATCATGAAACGTTTACAGCTAAGTAAAAAAATAAAATAAAAGAAAATGTAATAGAGAAAAATTTTACAGAAGCAAAGTGAAGACATGAAAGGAAAAAAAAAAATACATTTTAAAAAATGAATGATAATTATAGGAGTAAATTATAAAGAATACACATACACGACGTTTGTCATGTACAGGGTGTTTGAGATTTTTCTGTGAAAATACGATGTTTTGCAATGTTGCTGTAAAATAATTTCATCGATGAAAAATAAACTTTTTATGGTTAGATGTTGCATTAGAAAAAACAGTTTGGATGCTTTATTTACATCTTTGTCAGTTGTTTGTAATAAAGTTACATTAATTATTATTAATGTATAATGTATTATTATTAATTATTATTAGTAATACATTACTGATAATAGTTTATTCTATTACTAATATTATTATTTTATTTTATTATTTTTCTTTAAAAAGAGTATTTTAATATTAATTTATTAAATTTATTATATATTTATATGAATTATATTTATTACTATATTACTAGGTTATTAAATTACTATTACTAGTAATGTATCATTAGTAATATTATAGTAATATTATAATAGTATTAATAGTAGTATATATAATTATTATAGTAATATTAGTAATAGTATTATTAGTGATTATTATAGCTTAAGTATTTTATTTGTTTTCTTGAAATAATTGTTATTTCAAATCGTCAACGATAAGAAAGATTATCATTAAAATTAGTTTAAAAAAAAAAAAAAATATATATATATATATAAAAGGAATATTAGTTATCTTTGTTTTACCACGTATACCGCAATACCAGGAAAACTGATGGAAAGGGACAGGGGGGTACACCTTTATCCAAGACCGACGATCTTTTTTGATAAGGATGACGAGGTACGTTTTAAATCGTCGTTGTCGAACACAACGATTTAGCCGAGATTACAAAAAACCGAAACCAACATAGAAAAAAAAGATATATATATATATATATTTATAAACTATATCCTATAGGGGAGATGGTCATTCGTTGTAAACAACTACGACGACTATGACAAGAAAAAGTAAACATAAACTCGAATACACTAGGTATAACCAATGTTTTATTTCTGCAAAGAAAAAAGAAAAATGTACAGGTGGAAGAGAAGAAGAGGGTGAGGTGAATAGAAACAATATTTATATTGGAATAGGAAAATCTTTGTTTGTTTATCTTTTTATTTTCAAACGTAAAATCGTACACATTTTTTATTATTCTCCAATCTCATACGAGATAGATAAAAAAAAAAGCATAAACAAGAAAATATCATAGCAACGTTGATAAGAAAGTTGAAAGTTTTTGTTTTCCAACAAACGTGAAGAAAATGTTAGAAAATAAATATGTCAAAAATGATTTGTTCTATTTTTTTTTCTTTTTTTTTTTTTTAAATATTGACTATTATTTACTTACACGTGAAAATTGAGATCTCATCTTGCATACGTGTGTCGTGAAACTATGAATTATGGGATTCATTGATTTATACGTATTTACTTTTTTTCTTTTTTTTTTTTTATATTACTTTACTATATTTACTATTTACCTTCATTTTTCCCCCTCTTATCCTTACTTTGTATTTTATTCTTTTGAATTTTATTATTATATAATTTTTTTTTCTTCTTTTTATTTGTTAAATCCAGTCAAACCCTTTTCACTTAAACTCGGATAAGTTGCAAGTTCTTACTGTAAACCTTCATTATTTTCCTTTACGTTGCAAATTTTATGCACTTTCTTCTTTCCCACTCCTCACTCCTTTTCTTTTTCTTTGTATTTTTTTTTCTTTTTTTTTTTTATTATATTATACCTTTTCTCTTTACCTCTTTGTCAATATTTTTCTTTTTTTTTATCTTTTGGTTACTCGTTCAAAGAAAATTTGTCATCTTCTTTTTCTTCTCATTATCGTTTAAGTATCACTTTTATTATGTTTTTTTTTTTTTTTTTAATATTATAAAACTTAGAGAGAATTAATGTCGATTGAAATATTTGTTAAATAATCTTTGAAAAAGGAAACTTTATAAATAAAAAACAAAACAAAAAGATACACAAATTAACCTAATTAAATGACAATTTAATAAGACTGTTTCTAATCATAAATAAATATAAAATAATTTTGTTATTGATATCAGAAGATTCTTTTTTAATGATCTTATGATCTATGAAAACATTTTCTTTCTTACTTTACTTGCATATTATAAATAGAATAAATACACTTGATAGAATTTAATCGGTAAAGGAAAAAAGAAAAAACAACTCTAACACAACGATCTGTAAAACATTGTCTTATTATTTTAAGTTTAAAAATAAATAGAATAAATACACTTGATACTATTTAATCGGGAAATGAAAAATAAAAAAAAAGGAAAATAATAATAACTCGGACACCCTGTGTATTGAAATATATATATATTGAAAGAAAAGTATCAAAAAAGAAAAAAAAAACGATCCTTTCAGTCGTGGAAATAATCTTTGAAATGGTAGTGCTTTAATGGTAATGCTAGTGCCCTTTATTAACGGGGGTGTGTGCTTTTACATTTTGCTCATCTCGTCGTTGAACTTTCTGTCTATCCATCTATCTATCTATCTATCTATCTATCTATCTATCTATCTATCTAGTTCTCTCTCTCTTTCTATCTATCTCTTTCTCTCTCTCGCAATGTCGATAACATAACTTGGCATGTGTGTATCGACGAATATTCCTAGAAACTTGGTGGGTTCTCTTCAACCCTTTGGAATTTACGAGAATTCCTATCCTCTGATTTCCTTTCTCCTAATCCAATTTCTGATTAATCACTTTGTATTCCCCCGTTATAACTAATTGTCTAAATCGTTTCTAATAAATAGTTTAGCTTATCCTAACAATAATATTAATAATAATAATAATAATAATAGTAATAATACATAATTCATATCATGCAACGATATTTATTATCCTTTTACTGTTCTTGTTTAATATCCCTTTTATAATAACAACATTTTTATTATTATTATTTAATAATTAATACATTAAGTTTTTTTTTTGTTATTATTATTTGAGACTTGTTTTTTTTTTCTTTTCGTTATAATTGTATTTTTTTTTTTTTTTTTAATTTACATATTTGTATTATTTTATTGAAATTACTCGGTATAATAGTATTTCGATAATTAAAAATGTGTATGTGTGTGCTTTTTTTTCTTATTTTTTTTTCTTTTTTTTTTTTATCAAGTAGGAACCTTATTACAGAGGATTAAATTAAAGGAAATACAAAATATTAGATAAATGACAATATTATACGCGATGAATTCCTCTCTATGTGTGTTTGCGTGTGTTATTTTTTTGTTTTTTTTTTTTCGTTTACAGGTTTTTCATACATTCAATTGTTTATTCATTTATTTATAATATTCATTTTTGTATTCATAAATTGTTCATATCGACAATAGAGAAACATATTTCTTTCTCTTTCTATCTTATTATTTTCGTATGGTTAATATTAATAGGAGAAAAAAATTAAAGTACAAAATGTTATTTTTATGTTGTTGCACAAAAAAGGAATGAAAACATTTGTTGGGTCTCAACAACGTCGTTATATGGGTAAAAAGAAAAATAATAATAATACGAGGTATTAAAATAATCATAATTAATTATTACTATAGTTATAGTAAATAATATAAATTACTAGTTACATAGTAATATAAATACATATTAATTATTACTAAAATAAATTATAATTAATTATTATTAGTTAGAATTAGGATTTGACAATAAAATGATCGTGTTGTCTTCTTCTTCGGCTTCTCTTTCGTCGTCTGGCCCTTCTCCTTCTTCTGCACCTTTCCTTAATAGTTTTGGTCCTTCGTAAATAATTGTCATCTTCATTGTGATCCTTCTTATTATTATAATCTTCATTATCATTATCATTATCATTATCATCATGGCTTTTATCATTGATTATATTATTATGATTATGATTATTATTATTATGATTATCGTTGAATCGTAAACTTCTTCGTAGACGTTTATCGACGCGTAAACGTGTAGTAGTATTAGTATTATCAGTACAAGTTGGATCATAGCAATCGATGAGATGCCTAGAATCGCCTATCCATTTACCATGGCAGCTCGAATTCATAGCAATTCTAACAGCACTTCCGGCATCAACGGACGTCGATAGTTTCCATCTGCCAATACCCACGAACAACTTTCCTCCTCTCCTTCTACCTTCTTTAATACTACTACTACTACTAGTAATACTATTACTGATACTACTTTTAATTCTACTAATACTACTAGTCATTCTATTATTATTATTGTTATTATTATTATTAATACTATTACTATTACTAATATTAATTCCATCATTTTCTTGTTCATTTTTCATTTGTTTATCTTCTTCCATATCATCTTCCTGTCGTTCCACGCATATTCTGGTACCTGAAAAATAGGAAATGAGAAGAAAAAAAAAAATGTTAATGTCATTTCATTTCTATGGACATTTTTATTGTCAATGAATATTTTCAAAAGTTATTGAATTTATAGTTAGGATAGTTTTTTGGCAATTAGGGTAGTTAGTTTTCATAGAAAATTAGTGGCGTTTTTTCGTTTTCTTTTTTTTAAATGATTACTTGCAATTTTTTTTTTTTAGTTCAAATCATTTCTTTTTTTTTTTTTATTAATACCTATCTGAAACCTATCCAATATTGTATTGTATTGTTTATTTCTGTAGAAAGAGAGAGAAATAGAGAAAAAAAGAAATATTGAGGACAAAGAAACGGTGTTTTTATTTGAAAAAGGAAAATCTTTTGAGATTATTTTTTCCAGTGCGAAATCGGACACATTTTTTATTATTTTGATTTTTTTTTTGCGGTTTTCTGTTTATTATTTTTTTTTTGTTTTCTTTTGTTTTGCTTTTATTCGCCAACCGGTGTCATACGTAGAAAAAAAAAAAAAAAAAAACAAGGAAAATATTATAGGAAAACGTTGATAAAAGATTTTTTTTTACTAAAAACAAAAAACAAGCTTTTTATTTCTTTTTTTTGTTTGTTTTGTTTTTATGTAAGTTTAATATTTAAAAATATTTTTGGTCAGTATTGTGAATATTCATTGATTAATATTTAATAATAAAATATAAATGTAAATAATAAAAATATTCGTGCATCTGTTTATTTATTGAAATAAAATACCCATAAAATGATGAATTAAATATAAATAAATTTTTGTAATATAGATTTTTCAATCACGTTACTTTTTAATGATTTATTCGATTATGCATTTTCATAGGTTGCAAAAATTAATTGTAAATATTTCATAATATTATACGTAATATAATATGACATTGATATAATAATAGGAAATTTAATTGGGGTTGTGTGTTTTGCACTATTTTCTATTTCTATTAAACAATGTTGAATATAATAATAATAATAATAATAATAATAATAATAATAATAATAATAATAATAATAATAATAATAATAATAATATATTGGTCTATATGAAATTTATCCTTACCTTCGGCCAAGGAAGATGATATCCGTTTGCAAGCTTTGGAAGCACGCACGATAGTGAATGCAACACACCTATGGCTGAAAGGTATACGAAATATATATTCGATTACAACTAACATTATTATACTCTTCGATCGTATTTTATATCATATCAATTGAACAAATAACATAAATTTATTTCTAATAAATAATAATCATTCGTTTTATTTTTAAAAAATCATCATTTTGTTTCTTTTCTTTTGGGGGGTGGAGGTGGGGAAAGAAATCACGTGTGTTCCAAATAATAAAATAAATAATAAAATAATTCATGACTTTTTGATTGTGATATATATAAACAATAATTATAAAAGTAAATTACAAAATATTATTATCTTTTTTTCTTTTTCTAAATATCCACATATATTATACGATAATACGATTCATCGTTAATAAAAATATGATAATTATTAAAAAAAAAAAACAAAAACTTTTATTTTATTAATATTATTATATTAAAAATCAGTCGTTCTATTTAAAAAAAAAAAAATAATAATTTTGTTTTCTTTTTGGGAGGGAAAGGGAAAGATTCATTATCCCCATATTATATCTCTTTTTTTTCTTCTTTTTTTTTTTCGTTCGATCACACAATTTATTTAATAAATTATTGTAAAACAATATAAAATATTTTCTTTTCCCATTTGTTTTGATTCATCATGGAAATGTTTGATAATACAATTATCATTTTGTTAATGACATTTTGTTGCGTTTCTTTCTCTTTATTTCTTTAAATATTTTTCTCTGATATTTTTGATAAAACAATTTATTAAACAATATCATCCCATATAAGGTATAACAAACGAATCTAGGGCTTGTTGGTTGGTTGGTTGGTTGGTTGGTTGTGTAGTAGGATATGAATGATCGTTGTGTCTCGAGTGGCAATTTTATTTTTAAAGTGGTAACAAATATACGATAAATAACGAATAAACATGAAAATCATCATTATTTTTCGAGTACTCTACGTTGGGATTGGTTGTTACCGTACACTACAAAAAAATAATAATAAAAAAATAAAAATTCGTTCTTTGGATGGAAAATAAGGGAAAACCGCAGTGGAAGTGTGAGAGTATGTGAGTGTGAATGAGAGAGCGAAAATAATCAAAAATATTGCGAAAGAGAATGAGAAAAATGTTTGTACAAGAACGACATTGATATACATATATATATATATACACGTATATACACCCACATATATATATGAAGTATATAAATTCATTGTTGATGGAGTCGTATACACGTCATCGAAATACTTTTTCAAAATCGTGTGATTGGCGTCTATCGAGATAAATTCACCTTTTAAAAGAGTTAAAAAGATCTTTCGTTGACATATGTGGGTCATACGTATACACATACATATACATGTGAAACATATACACGTTTCGTATTTACGCATACGTACGTATGTATAATATTCACTTTTAACACAAAGTGATTCTTTATGGTATATAGTAGTACTCTTGCATTTCACCACGTTTTTGTTCTCTTTTTATATATTTTATTTTTTTTTTATTTTTTTTTTTTCTTATTTCGTTTTATTATTATTATTATTATGATTATTATTATTTCTTTTTTCTGGAAATTCGGACTTGCGAGAGAATATTTTCCTATTTCATTCTCGTATATTTCGCGTATATTACATTTTAATATTTAATACGAGATAGATATATATATATATATATATATATATATATATATACGGGATGTAGGGGTGTATATTCACAAAAGAAAAAAAGAAAAAGGAAAAAAATTAAAGAAAAAACAATGAGAGAAAAAGAGAGATTCTCTTTTCCAACAGTTTGTTTTATATTTTTAATCCTTTTCTCTTTCTTTTGATCATTGTTTAAAATTTGAACGAACGAACCCATTTTTATATACACGGATTTTCTTCTTTTAAACGTTTCTCTTTGATTTTTTATTTTCTTTTTTTGTTTTTTTTTTGTTTTGTTTTTTGATTAAACATTTTTATTTTTCACTGGTATAAATTATTTTTAAAATTGACTTCATGTAAAAAGTTTGACACAGATCTGGCAATGGAAAAAAGAGGAAAAAAAGTAATTCAAATGTTATGGCAATTGGTTCTTTGTTTTTTTTTTTCTTTTCTTTTCTTCTTTTTTTTTTCTTTATGACAAATAATTCAATATTTTTATTTTCAACGTTTAATCATATTTATGTGCCCATAATTATGAAAGTGGTCTAACATAAGTCAAAATTAATTAAAAAAATTAGTTTATCTGTTATTACGTACTACATTATTATTATAAACTATAAATAAATTCAATGTAATTTGAAACCGATATTATCAAAAATGAATCATTAGATAATATTTGTTATTTCAATATTGTATGGAATTTATATGGTGTTCAAGTATAAATCTTGAAATATCTCGAAACAAGAGATATATGACTTAGATTACTTTCATAATTATGGTCACATATTATTATTGTTTTTAATATATGAACATTATAAAAAATACAATATTTAGGGTAATTTACTTTCGTACTTTTATAATTTTACTTTTCTATAGAAAAATCTCAAATGTGTAATATGAATATATTTATTTTGTTGACTGTTGTGTTCGGTAATAGAAGAATAGGACAATTGGGGAAAAAGAAATATTGAAATTGTTGTATGAAAAAAAAAAATTGATTTATAAACAACAAGAAAATGTTTGAAGAACTGTATGATTTGAATGTAACGAAATAACTATTAACTTTATGATCTATCAATAAAGATAAACGTCGTTTTGTTCGTACCACGAATCTATTTGTGGGATTTTTCATGGAAAATTTTCAGGAAATGGTAAAGTTGTAATACATACATATATACATACATTCATACATACATGGATACATGCATAGATTGGTAACTAGATAGATAGGTAGATAGATAGATAAATAGATAGATAGATAGATAGATAGATAGATAGATGGATAAATAAATAAACGTTCGATCGATGGATAGACTTGTAAATTTCAATGTATATATATATATATATACAGTGGGTGTAGAAAGTATTCGTGCACCGATCAATTTGAAATAAAATGTTGTGAAATTGTAGTTTATTAACAAATGTTTTATAAACGATGAATTTATAGTTTTCTTTCTTGAAAGTCTTTACAATAGATGTAATGAAATAGAAAATAATTTTTTAAATAAATTATATATCAATAAGAAAATATATATAACATATATCATATAATATCTATATATATATATATATATATATATATATATATATATATATATATATATATATATATGTATATATATCATGCGTGAAATAATTTTCATCATGTTGTCAACATAGAATTTCGTTTTATATATTTTTTTTTGTCACCTCACTCAAACCCCAAACCCTTTCCCACCCTTATCGAGCTGTTAGTAACGACCGTTGTAAAATAACAAAATCCTTGGGAAAATAAAAAACAAAAAAAAAACAAAAAACAAGAAATAAAATCCCAAAAATGATGTCGTATAAAATTAAACATATAAAACATTAAACAAAAAAAAAAAAGAAAAACAAGAACCTGACAAACCAAAATAGAAAAAAAGCTGTCGTGTACCATCGAATGAGATTTAGTAAACGTACGTGAAATATTGCACGACGTGTAACTGAAAACAGAAAAAAAAAAAAATAAAAGTTGTACCACGATTTCGCTTGACGTTTTGCATAAAAACGTATTATTTAAAGTCGAACGAGAAAATATTATTTGAAACGGTTTTTCGATGGAGAGAGAGAAACAAAGAGAAAAAAAAACAACAGATTTTTATATAAAAATTTACGAATAACGTGAAGTCCATTTATAAAATGATTGAATTGAATTTAGAAATAATTTTCCCTCTATATTATTTATAGGAGAATTTTAATTTATTTAATTATTAATATAATTCTAACGTTTTTAACGTTAAATATAAAATTTCAAAGTGTTTATTAATTGTAGAAATTAATTTCATTTTCTTTCTCTCTTTCAATTTTATAATTTAAAATAAATAATTTTTTGTTTCCGTACATTTATTATAAATACTTTCAAGAATATGTGTAAATTCATCGTTTATAAAAAAGTTAGTTTATTAATTGATAAAGTAAGTAGCTTATTATAATATAAACACACACTATAAATTTTATAATATATTTAACAAAAATTATTTAATAAACTACAATTTCAAAACATTTTATTTCAAATTGATCCGTGTACGAATACTTTCTAAATCTACTGTATATTAAGTGAAAATCATGTAATATCCAATGTGTTATCAAAAGTATGGTGTTTTACAAATATTTATGAATGAAAAAAAAACCCGATAATTAAAAGAATTAAAAAACAAATAATATTATAAAGTTTAATGTCACAATATTGTTGTTGTTGTTTTACTCACATCGTGTATATTATATTTCTTACCTTATTTTCGGTATTTCATTTCCAATGCCAACTTCTGAACCGTTGTATCCGGCAGGTAAAAAGGAGAGTAATGTCACACCTGCGAAAAGATCAATCGATAATCGTCAAGCATTTTCTAAAAGTATGATTCAACATAATTGAAATAGAGAAGAAAATAATTAAAAAAAAAAAGCATGTGTGTGAACAAGTTAGAAGTGAAAACCTTCAAATAAACAAGTTTAGAGGATAATTTATTATATAATATTATTATAATATTATTTGTACTTTTAATTTGTAATTATTTATTTAATTATTAATTTAATTATAAAAATGCGCGCCTGTTCGTATGCAACCCTCCAGACACATATTGAAAATGTTGCTTGCGAGCGACATCTACTGAGACGAAATATTTTTTGCACTCAAAACTGTTTATACACGTATGTATGACGGATTGCCTATCTTTCGGGCAGAAAAAAATTCCGTCCCGACAGATGACGCTCGCAAGCAACATTTTCAAAGTGTGTCTGGAGGATTGCATTCATACAGGCGCGCATTTTTATAATAATTACAAAGAAAGTATAATAAATAATAAGACACTTTAAAAGATGTTTGCAAATCTTGGTTTCGTTTTTCCACTACATCACCGCGTTTCATTTTTTCAAATCACACCCATTCTAAAGATGTTTTCACTTCGATAAAATTACAAAAATTTTTAGTAGAAAAAGTGCGTAGAATTTAAATGGAAAAAAAGAGAACTGTAGAAAAAAAAAGAAATGACGAAATATAAATTCGAATGAAGTATAGGTAATAAAGTTTCTATAACACCCCGTGGGGGTTGGCGGGGAAGAATACCCCCTCAGTAATCCCTGCTTGTCGTAAGAGGCGACTAAAAGGGAAACCCAGAAAAAATGGGAATATTAATTTTAAAATAATTCAATAAAATAAAATAATTAATTTTAAATTAATATATATATATATATATAATGAATTAATATTATAAAATATTTTATAATAATGTGTAATAACAATATAAAAAACAAAACAAAAAATAAACTTTCTACAACATCGATAGGGGTTCACTCACACATAGATTTGTAAATAAATATTAAACAAAAATTATATTACAAAATGCAATGTTTTACAAAGATTCATTACAGTTGTTTTTTTTTTCTTTGTATATTGATAAAATGGTTTTTATAATTTATAAATCGTGTTTATAGGAAAATTACGTGTAGCATCTATTAGAATGAAACTAGAGAACAAAAGAATGACGAAAAAGTAAAGCCAAATTTTTGGGGTTTATTTTTTCTTTATGGTGTACACTGTAGAGACTATCGTAATGATGATCACTCACTCCTGTCGTGAAGCAAAGGACGAAGAATTCCAGAATGACAAGATTGAAAGCTTCGACAGCTTCTGATTTGATCCAGTCTTGGACAATGTTTTCCACCATTTTTCTCAGAGTTTCTTATACTGCGAGTACGTTTTTGTGTTCCACTGCCACATCCTGTATTGCAAGCTGACCACTCGCTCCATTCGCTTACTGTACAATCTACCACTGTAAGCAAAGAAAAACAAAATAAACAAATGAAATATTTCATTAATGTTAAATATAACCCTTGTAGAAAATAATTATGGGGGAAAAAGGAGTGGAGGTTTTTGAAAAAATAATAAAAGTGTAAACGAATTCGAGATAAATATTTACAATCATTTCTTATATGGTTATATTTAATAAATTGAATAATTACATTCTATCCATATTGATATTGACATTATTTAGAATTATAGTTTGAATAAAAGTGAATAATAATTTGTTATTTTTATGGTTGAAAATTATTGAAAATAATAATTGAAAGTATGATATTTGATAGAATTAACAGATGTATTTATAATCATTTCTTATTTGGTAGTTAATTTAATGAATTATTAATTAAATTATATATATATACATTACAATGTATAATATATTTTATTGTAATATATATTAGGTTATATTATAAATTTATTATAATAATATAAAAATGAACATAACAAAAACAACATAAAATGAACATTTGTTTTATCGAATAAAAAATAACAAGAAAGAAAGAAAGAAAGAATGAGAAAAGAGAAAGGAGGAGAAAGAGGGGACGAAGGGGATGAGAAATTAAAAAATGTAAAATAAAAAAAGAAAAAGAAATGATTATGAATACCAACCTAAAAGTTTATATATTCCGTATAGTCTTTTTGTGAATTCAATAGAGCTAATAGAAAAACGTATATATGTTTATATAGGATATGTATATATAGGAGTGCATACAGTGTATATATATAGTTATATACACGTATTGGTGTAAAGAGAGAGAGAGAGAGAGAGAGAGAGTGAGAGAGAGAGTTAGGCAGATCGATTCATTCATGACGAATTCTTCGTTTCCCAGCCACCCCCCTCTGTTCCCCTCGACCGTCCATCATTCGTGAATAGAACCATCGAATTCGTGTTGAAAATAATAGCCAGATTTCAACAAATGTCTAAAGATTTATTCTTAATCAAATTGTTATCGAAACGAAACTAAACGAAACGAAACAACGGTTCTACAAAAAAAAAAAAAAAGAAAAAAAAAATCATAAATGTTATCGAATATTTTGTGGATTTGAGAAATAAATGACAATAAAAAAAAAAAGATTAAAAAAAAGAAATGTCTATTAAAAATATAAAATATGTTTTAAAAAATATCAAAAACATTTAAAATATTATAAAATATTTAAAATAATAATAAGATGTTAATAAATTATTTTTATAAATTAATTACATCACGCTATACATAAACTATATATTATAATATTAACACCCCCCCCCCATATTATTATTTTAAATATAATTTAAATTATTTTCGATAATTTGAAACCCATAAAAATGACAAATGATGATTATTCACTCTAATTCTAAATAATTTAAATATCAATGTGGATAGAATTTAATTTGGTGTATTAAATGTAATTATTTATTTAATATAATATTTATTATATTATATATTTATATTATATTATTTTATATTATATATTTTTATTTTATAATATATTTCATTTGATTTGATTTTATTTTATTTTTTTTTTTTTTTTTGATAAAATTGAACTATTGAAATATACGAAAACAAGAAATATTTTCACAAGAATGAGAACAAAATTACGTATTGTTAATTACAATGATAGGAATATAGCCTATATATTATTATGTGCGTGTGTGTGTGTGTGTGTTGTTGTTGTTGTTGTTTCACAAGCATTCCTTCGTTCGATAACCTATTCCCTTTTACATTAGCAACGATCTTTAAACAGGGAGGAAGGAAGGGGGTGTGGTGATCGATTGATTGACTATAGTACGTCGAGAACTAAATAATTTCATCCATTTGCCTTTGGTGAACTTCAATGCCAATAAAACGAGACCAAAATGTATATGGCTGTGTGTGTGTGTGTGTTTGTTTTTTTTTTTTTCACCTATATAGTGAGACAATCTCTCTCATCAAATTCTATTATTCTCGATGCATAGGAAATATGAAGGTAATTTTAAAAAGAAAAAAGAAAAAATAAAACCAACAAACGTTTGCTCTAACAACAACAACAACAACAACAATAACAACAATAATAATAATAAAAATAAAAATCGATTTAACCATCCAAACGTCAGGTTTTTTTTGCTTGTTGTTTACTTTTGTTTGTTTACTTTTCTTTTTTTTTTTCACGTTTACGAAGTTGTCAAATCAAAAGTAAATGGTTTTTTTTTTTTTTCTATTTGTTTATATATATATATATATATATATCGAAAACTAGTTGAAAATAAATGAATAATAAAATCGATTGATTTGAAATAACAGTAATATAAAATAGAATTTGTTGAAAGGTTTGATATTTGTTAACACTTTGAGTGGTGAATACTTGGAACTAAAATGTTTTATAGGAACGAAGTAATTTATTATTAACTAGATTCTAATAATAAATTATATTTAATAATTAAAGTTTTATAATAAAATATATTATTTTATATTTTTTTTTTTTTCATTATTATATATTATATATTTATATATATTTATTATTATTATTTATTATGCATATAAGTATATATATATATATATATATATATTAATATTACTTATATGTGTTAATTAAATATATTATATATATATATTATATATGTTTATTATATATATGTATAATTATAATATATTAATAATTATTATATAAAATTATAATTATAACATAATAATATATATAATAATACATATATATATAATATAATATTAATAATATACTAATTATATATTATAAATAATATAATAATACGAAATTAATTTATTATTAACTATAGATTTTAATAATAAATTATATTTAATAATTAAACTTTTTCTTTATGAATATAATTTAAATTAATTAATATAAAGATTACATTAATTTACATTAATATTAACAAACACGTATATGCTTCAAACAATAAGGCTGATAATTTTTATCAAACGCATATATGCGTCCATAGTACTCACTCTCTCTTTCTCTCTCTCTCTCTAAGGATTTAATATAAGAAGATAAATAATGTTTGTATTTTAAAATACACTCGATTTAGTAATAGTAAGAAGTAATAATAAGAGAAACGTGATGAATTAAGTAGCTTCTTCTTCTTCTTCTTCTTCTTCTTATGTCTTGAAGATGACAGAAGACTTTAACTTCCGGTACCCGGAAGCAAGTTAATCGTCTTCCGGTAGAAAGCTTTTGCATCTCTCTTCCTTTAGTTTCCTTTCCTATCCTTTAGCAAATCACTATGAATCCTTTTCCGTACTTATTCATTTTCTCTCACTCACTCCCTCACTCACTCTCTTTCTCTCTCTCTCTCTCTCTCTTTTTCTTTCTCTTTTTCTCTAACATTATCGAATTCACCTGAACAACTATAGTTCTTCATAAAAATGTTGTAATAAATTCTCATAGAAAAAAAAAAAAGAAAACAATTTATGGTTTGAATTTTAATGCATGAACGATAATCATAAAATATAATAATAATAATAATAATAATAATAATAATAATAATAATAATAATAAATTTGTATTGTTCATAATTTGATGAGTTTATTTAAAATAATATTCGATGATATTTAAAATAAACTTTAAAAGTGCAAATTTTATAATTGATAATTTATTAATGGAAAATTATAGAAACACAAACTTCCACCCTCCCACCACTATCAACCACCACCACCACCACCATCACCACCATTTAACAGAATTATCTTATCAATTGTGTTCATTTTTTATTTTTTTTTTTTCTTTTTTTCTATTTTCTACCATTCTCATCAAAGTTCGTTGCTTTAAACGCAATTTTCACGATTTTAATTAAACGATACAATTTCTTTCTCTTTCTCGCTCTCTTGTTCACTCTCTCACTCTCTGTCTCTATTTTTTTTTCTATTTCTGTCTATCTCTGTCTTTCCCTCTCTTTCAAAAAAAAAAAAAAAATAGGAAAAAAAAACTGAAAGAAAGAAATTAGGTCGAGCGGTATAAAATCCTATTAATTCGAAATATCGATTTCTCATACATCTAACTTACTTCACGAATAAAAAAGAGAGAGAGAGAGAAGAGAATGAGAGAAAGAGAGAGAGAGAGAGAGAAAGAGAGAGAATTACATCTGTACAATACTCAGAATTTCTAATAACATGGAAATATTAAAAATGTTAAAAGAAAAAAAAAGGAAAGTAAAAAAAAAAGTAAAACTTTCGTTGGAATTTGTACTTCAAAAATTTACATCAAATAAAATGTTCGATATATATACCTTAAATAATTGTTAATTAATATATTATTAACTACTCTTATAATTTTATAATAATAATAATACTAATATTTCAAATATATTAAATATTTTAAAATATAATAATTAATATACTATTAATTACTCTTATATATAATTTTATTATATGATAATAATAATATTTTAAATATATTAAATATTTTAAAATATAATAATTAATATATTATCAATTACTCTTATAATTTTATTACATATTAATAATAATATTTTAAATATATGAAATATTTTAAATATATAATAATTAATATATTATTATTATTATTAATATTATTATTATTTAGAATCTATTTATATTGTAATTTAGAAAATCTATTGATATTATAATTTAAAAATACAAAATATATTGTATAATATAAATTCGACAATATATCCTATTTTGTTCAAAAATTCAATAATAAATTAAATTCATATTGTCCTTTATGAAACTTACTTAAAATGTTTGTATTCGTTGTTGTTGTTGTTGTTTAATATGACTTTTGTAAAAAACGTAAAAGGCAATTTTTTGTCCTATGTGTCGCATATTATTTGCATACTTTGACATATTTATTCCATATGATTTGCATATTTTTATTGCCCCAAACAATCAACACAAAAGAATATTAATTAATTTTTCTTTTTTTTTTTTTCTCTAAACTTTTTTACATCAAACTAATATACTTTCGTGCTTTTTAAAATACAATATATGCAGTATATTTCATTCGATTTAATTAACTATCATTTGAGATATATCGAACACATTATCAAGGTATTTAACATCCCCCAATCAATGTATCTCATTGTACACAAAAAAATATACACATATTTTATGTGTACACAAAAATACATATATTAATAATAATTAACGATTTGAACGTTTAATCATTTCATTCTCATTCATTTCCTTTTTTTTTTCATGTTTAATTGTATTAAAAAATTTTGTCGGCTAAAAAAAAAATTACGAAAAAATATAATCTTAATAGATATAAATTAGGTGTCACGTTGTTTGTCCACAATGGACTCCTAAACTACTGAACCGATATTAATCAAATTTGGCACACTGTGTGCAGTTTCATCCAACTTGAAAGATAGGATAGTTTATATCTCAATTTATAGTTCGCAATATTATTTTATTGCCAATTATATGTCTCGATGGCGGTATAAGATAATTCGTTGACTTAAAGACGTGTGTATCGGACTGATTGTGAGCCACAGCAACGCGTGACGGGGCACCCCTATAAGAAATAAATTTAAAAAACAAAAAAAAAAGAATCTGAATAAATTTAATAATAGAAAACGTATGTGTTACAATTGTATATTATTAAATATGTTTCTTTGTAACATATATACGTATATAAATATATTATTACGCTTATATGGTAGTGAAAAGCGTGTAAAACCCGTTAAATGAGATTACGAATGGGGTTGAGGGTGAGAGGAGGAGGAGGAGGAGGGAGGGTGGGAAAACTTGTCGTACGTGTTTGAAAACGTCACACATTGAATTTATCGCGTTCGTCACGTCAATTTTGTACTCGAGTCCTACTACACCTATCCGTTTACCTGACATGTGTATTTTCTTTTTATTTTATTTTATGTTTTATATTTTATATTTTATTTTTTATTTTTTACTTTTGTTCTTTCTTTTTTTTTCTTTTTTTTTTTACTTGAAGATTGTATCCCATGAAACAAATTAATGCAGACAACAACATTATATCGAAAGTACACATTTTATTTTCTTATTTTCTTATTTTTATTTTTATTTTATATTTTATATTTTTTATTTTTTATTTTTTATTTTTTACTTTTGTTCTTTCTTTTTTTTTCTTTTTTTTTTTACTTGAAGATTGTATCCCATAAAACAAATTAATGCAAACAACTTTAAACCGAAACTACATATTTTATTTTCTTATTTTCTTATTTTTATTATTTTATTTTATTTTATTTTATTTTATATTTTATATTTTATATTATTTTATTTCTTGTTTTTCTTTTTTTTACTTGAAGATTGAATTCCATGAAACAAATTAATGCGAACAACAGCATCAAATCGAAATTACATATTTTATGATATTTTCTCTTATATTTTTTATATTATTTAATATATATGATACACGTATATAATAAATAAAAATTATATATTACATATATTATGTATGATAAGTATCTATACTTATATATATATACATATATCAGAAAAAAAAAATGATTAACTTTTCTCTATCATCTACTTGTTCAAAGTGAACTTTGCTTAAAGGTAACTAATTACCTTTAAATTACTTCGCAATTATGTAACTTTGAAATTGGAAAAAGAAAAAATGAAAAAATGAAAAAAAGAAAAAACGAAAAAACAAAAAAAAGTGCACTTTAAAATTAACTCGTATAATAATTTTGCAAAATTATCGAACATTAAAAGCTGACACACTTTGATGATACACGAAAGAGAAGACAAATGAAAAAAAGAAATGCAAAATATGTAAATTTTTCAATTTAATTCGCATCGTTTGAATCCTGTATACTGTAAAAAAGAAAAAAAGAAAAAAAAAAAGAAAAAGAACTTCACATGTAATTCGTCCTAAAGAAATAAAATAAAATAAAAAAAAATAAAAAAATAAAAAAATGTAATAAAAAAAAACTCGTTGAAATAGAAAAGTTTTTTTTTTTTTTTTAAATAGGAAAAATAAATCATAATTACAAACAAACCCCCTTTTAACAGAACTTGTCCAATAATATTCATACTTATTTCGAAATGTTAATAGCTTAGTATAATAATATTTTATTATTAATAATATTTATATATTTTATTATGATATAAATTATATTACACACTTTATTATTATATATTATATTATTTAATATATTATTAAATAATATAAATATTATTACACTCACTAACTGTAATATAATATAATTTAAATAAGATACTATTAAATATATATTAATTTATTATAATAGTATTTGTTTAAATAAAGTAAAAAAATAAGAAAAAATAAAACCTATTTTTATAGGTATATATTATAGATTAAAAATATTAGTATTTTATTTATTTAAAATAATTGTAATTTTATTTAGATATATATATATATATTTATATTAAAATACTAATATATAATAAATTTAATTTTAATATATAATATAATAAAAATAAAATAAAATAAAAATTTAATATAGTATATAAAAAATATATAAAACAAGGAAAATTTTATTTATAATTAAACTATTAACAAAATTAATTAATTATATTAGTATGTATTTAAATAGAATAAAAATAAAACCTATTTTTATATGTATATATTATAATATATTAAATATATTAATATTTTACTATATAAATAAAATACCCGCTGCTAAAAAAAAAAAAGAAAATATATTATAATAGTAGTAGTTATTTAAATAAAATAAAAAAGAAAGAAAAGGAAATCTATTTGTGAGCAGGTTTTGATGAAAAGGATTTGGTTTTAAAAATAAAAAAAATGGATTTTGATCAAACTCACCCCCGCATGTTTCTTTAAAATCGTCGCAACAGTCGGCAAGTTTGAGACACGCATGATCGCAATAACAAGGTTTGTCTCGTGGGCTTTCGATTATGGCATTTGGTGATTCTTTTTGTATGACACAACCGGAATCTCTTCCTTGACAACAAAGCTTAGCGGCACTGCAACTTCCGGCTTGACTTGTGTCAATGTACAAAATCAAACCGAGTATAATGATCTTTAATTTCAATAAATCGAATATCATTGTAACATCCATCATCTTTTTTATCAACATCATTTTGTGTTCTTCCAATCAACGTGATATTATATTATTAATAATCATCCCCCGTTCGAATGATAACAAAATAATATTGCAAAAAGAAAGTAAAAAAAAAAGAAAAGAAAAGAAAAGGAATTAAAAGAAAAAGGAAAAAAAAATAAAACAACAACAACAACAACCGTGTGTAACAAAATCAAACGATATTATTTTAATCTATCGTTTTTTTCTTATTTTAATTATATTTAATTGTTTATAATATAAATCCGTTCGTTCATCGTTTAATAAAATAATAACAATAACACAAGGATGATAACGATGATAATTTCGATAATGACAAATATTTAATCAACATGTTCGTTTCTCTGGTTGAATGATTTTTTTTTTGATATCCTACCGATAGTTGTTATTTTAAAGATACGTTTATATTAAAATTTATATTATTACATATCAAAATTATTAATTACAAGTTACAAATTACAAATTTAGAAATATTCAAATTAATTACTCGCAATTTTTTTAAAATGCCATTAATTAAAATTTATATTGTTATATATTAAAATAACAAATAGAAACTTAAAATTGATGATTCGTAATTTTGAAAATACATTTAATTAAAATTTCAATTTATATATATATAAAAATTACAAATTACAAATTACAAATTACAAATTACAAATTAGAAAAATTAAAATTAATTACTGGCAATTTTAAAATATCTTTATAATTAAAATTTATATTATTATACATAAAAATTGCAAATTAAAATTTATATATCACATTATAAAAAATTGCAAATTACAAATATACCAAATTAATAAAAAAAAAAATAAAATAAAATAAAATAAATTAAAACAGTAACAAAATCAAATATCTCCCTTTCACTTTCACTCAAATAACTTTGATTTAAATCGCCAAATTATTATCCCGATTATTTATATATTACATAAATACAATATAAATCTATATATATATATATATATATATATATATANTATATATATATATATATATATATATATACATATATATGTAAAAAAAACAAGCGATGTTTCCCGTTTCACCCTCGTGTCAAGAGAGTCGCGAATGAACTGAGGCGATTTGAACGAGAACGAGGGTGTACCACCACCACCACCCCCACCCACACAGCATCGTATCGCGGGATAGCACACACAATTCTCCCCCTTTTAACACGTCGCGTCTGGTGCGCGCGCGCCCACCCATACACACACACACAAACACAAACACACTAATACTTTCACCAATCTGTCTGACTCACTCACAAACTCATCCCCATCACACCTTCACAATTCACCCTGTCTTTCTTTTTTTTATTTTATTTCTTTCATTCTTTGATATAATATTACATTATAATATTCGTATTCGTCCTTGATAGTTGATAGTCCTGTTACTTCAACGAATCCTTTTAACAAAACCCTTGAGCAGGTTAAACCAGCCGCCACCTTACGAGCGCATGCCTGAATTATCAACGTACGACCACTTAACGTTTAAACCTCCTTCATTCCTCATTTAAAACCAACCCCCATATCCCCCTATAACATGATGGTCCCTTCTCATCCCCTTAATCCTCAGTGATTATCTTTTATGACGAATTAACATTTTTTTTTTGTTCTTTTTTTTTTTATTCGTGATCTGCTAAATGTATATTCGTATTTGAAGATTAATTATTCATAGTTTGCAATCTTTTATTTTAATATAATATGGAACATTATTGATTTGATATAAATCAATTGATGATCAATGATTGAGATCAATGATTATTTGATATTAATCAATTGATGATCAATAATTAAGATCAATGATTTAATATAAATAATTTATTAGTGTATTACTATTAATTTATTTAATTATATATATTTTATTATTATTATATATTATATATATTAAATACTCTACTTATATTTATTAATTAAATTACATATATATTATAATTAATTATTTATAATAATAATATTATATATAATAAAAAAATATATTATTATATATGTTTTTATTATATATATATATTAATATATATTATATATAATATATATAATATGTTATATATTATTTATATTATATTATATTATATATATTATTAAAATATATAAATTATAATATGTTAATAATAATTATTATATAAAATATATTATATTATTATA